TTTTTTTTTAATCTTATCGCGGAAGATTATTGGCTAGAAAAAAATCAAACTTTTAACTTTTGTCTCAGAAAAATCGATTGTTTTTTTTTTTGTTCTTTCGGTTCATCACTCCCCTCCTTCTTGTTCCCTTCGTCCAATTTTTGTGTTCTTCAGATTTAAATAATATTTTTCCCTCACCAATCTACAACTCAAAGGAGTTTAGAAACCGAGCTATTATATTATAGAAAAATTTTTTTCTCTTTACACAAAATTAAACATTAGCTGAGCCGTTCTTGAAATATAAATATGTCGATAATCTCCCTTAATTTTTCAATTCATTATTCTACTGTTTTCTTTCTTTCTTCATCATTACAAGTTTTTCATTAGGCTTTTAATTATTCAACTAACTATTATACACACATTTACAATGCAAAGATTCTTCTCCACTTCTGCCAAGCGTTGCTTCCAAAAGGATACTATTACTTCTTTCATGAAGCCATCTATTCCAAAACAAGCATCCCACAAGATGAAGGCCACTCAAGCATCTCCATCCAAATGGAATCCAACCAATGGTAACTCATTCAGATCATTTGCTGAATACAGATTAAAGGCCACTAATCAATCTCCATTAGGAGTTAGAGCAAGATTACCAAACTTATACTCATCCCAACACCACATCTAATTTAACATGTGTTAATCTATTATATTCATGATTGATTTTTTTGTTTGGTTTTATTATTAAATTTGGGTTATACACAGCTTTTTCCTTTTATTATACGGTTATATTAAGGTTTAAAGCTACATTAGTTTTTTCAGTTCGTTTTATTCTACAATCATGAATGCAACAGTACTAGGGCATATTATTACAAAGCATATACAGGTTATTTGGTATCTTACTCTATAGGTTTTTTTTTTAGATAGTGTAATACATTTTATTCATCTATTGAAAATTTTAAAGTCTCTCTATCGCGATGTTTGTAGTCAGAGTTTGTAAGCTGCAAAATTTTCAATTGCCCTGTGAAATTCTTTTTTTCTCTTCCCTGGCAATTTGATTTGACTTGCCGCACCATGCGTTATCGCACCTTCCGATTTAGGAAATGGGGTGATTCAGCAAAAAAAAAATTTTTGACCCTCCTAAAAATTCCGTTTTATTTCGGGAGTCGATTTCCCTCGGTAGAAATTGAGGAGTTAAGAGCGAGAATTATTAATTACCAATTTGAAATAGAGCCGAGCGGTTTGTAAGTGGGGATTAGTATACCCCAGAGAGAATTGCTTTCTCAAGATGACTAATAATTACTCAGGAAATGAAATAATGACAACTCCCACATCAGAAAACCATGATGATGATTTTTAAGCTTTTAAACCAAGTGAAAAAAAATCACGCTATGATATGTAAGATCGTCGGGTGAGTCCGCGCGTAACACCCTTATCGATAATTTCTCGTCCTCTCTTGATCGCCATGCAATTAAAATGTGTTATCGGTCGTCTGCTAACCTTCCTGTTGTAAACGTGACCTTTGTGTCAATGCCGTATGGGTGTTTCCTGACATATTCTTATCCCTGATTTTGTTTTTTGGTTTGATGGCTCCTGATTTGATGTAACGTTACATCCAGGAACGACAAACAAAACAAAATGTTTCTTAGCGCAAAATCTTGAATTGGCTTGTCTTTTTTCGCATTCGGGGTTTGGGATTCACAGAAATAGAGATGGATTAGTAATAACAGTTTATATACCATTTCATGAATGAAATGCGGACCTGTCGATGTAATCCATCAAGGCTCACTGAAATAAAGCGAATACGTTCTATGTAAGCATGTTAGGATCGGTATATTCAAGGTATCCATACTTAATTGTGCAGCAGTATCAGAGCCCCGTCAACAAAGTTATTGAATAAATGTTTCACATCAACCGAGTTATTATATACATACCTAGTAATAATGGCTAGTTAGACCGATTTACAGATCTATGGGTGCGTCTTGCACACCTCGATGAGTTGCTGGTTTGTATATATTATTTTTTAATTCAGCCTCGGCTCATTTTAGTGGGGAATTTTGCTGGTTCTTTTCTAACAAGAAACTTAAAAGAATGGGATGGAGATAGGGAGACGAGTTTTAAATTGCTTTAAGGTGAGATAAATCCCATAGTCTTCATCAGGATTAGAAGCAAAGTTTGATATCTTGAAATGAGATCTAACTCGTATTTATAAATACAAATATTCCGAAATATGAATGAATCATTGCCCATCATCCTGCTACAAAACTTATAAAGTTCATTTTGCCATTTTCTTAGTATCAACAAGAATTTTAGTCATGACAAGACAAACGTATGAGAGCTGAGAGTTGCTGAAACGACAAGAACTTCGTTTGAACTTGGAATTTGAATGAATCATTGAACATCATCTTGCTGGAAAGGCTATGCTTCCTTATTTTTGTGTCGAGAACATTTTTGTGGATGATAAAGAATACGAGATTACGATCAACTATGTTGCCGTACAATTACATCTCCTTTCTATGATGCCAATCAAGATTCGGGATCGTTAGAACTCACTGTTGGGAAATCTATGTGTATGTCCAAAATGAGCGAAATTCCAAGCGAATTTGGGTTAGAGTGTGACATATTTCTCGGCAACCTAAAAACATCCACATATTGGCCAATTTTTGACACATAGAGAAAGTTGAAACGGGATGTCATTTATTATAGTCGTTATGTTTAGACTAGTGAAATAGATGGAACATAGACTAAAAGAAATCTGCATTTCTATTCTGTAAAATATTCCATCTAAAAGAAGAATAGTACTGTCTGCAAAAATATGTCTAGAAATGTAACGCCGTTGGGAAAGTGACAACCGCGTTGGATAGGTAGTAGACAACAGTGGAGTCTCAAAGAAAGTCCATTAGCATATTATCCAATTAAATGACGTCTTATAATAACAATACAAGTGTGTTACTCCTTGCTACCCGTGGTATTGGTAGTGTGTGTTACCAATGTCTGGAACAACTACCTTGACAAAAAACGGAGCGGAAATTGAATGCCAATCAAAAAAATAATCCTTGTTATTTTTCGATTGTTACATTTTTTGAAATTTCTAATCTAAAAAAATAATTTACTATCAATCACGTGCCATGATATAATCCGATAATAAATATCTCCCTTTCAAATTGCAATGAGAATTATTCTAACAATACCTTTTAATAATCCATTAATAAACGTTATAATTCAGGGAAAAACTGTGGAGTTTAGTTAATTTATAAAAGTTATTGGTTTTAAATTATATTAAATCACGAATCACCAACGGAAACGCAAAACGTCGAAATTTTTTTCAAATATTATATCATATCACACCCATATCACTTTTGAGTAAAGAATATCTGTTTAAACCTTTAAATCACCCATGACAGAAGAAACTTCATCGGCGTTGCTTGAACAGCTCGTCTACATAGATAATTATATGAACGGTGGTGGTGGAGCTTCTGAAAGTTCTAATGCCACACCAAATTTGGATATAGATGGACAATTAAGTTTAGACTTGGCTGCATTTGCCGATGATTCATTTATATTTCCAGATGAAGAGAAACCAATAAAACGTGAACGTGAAGATGATGATGAACATGAAGATAATCGTGGATTTGGAAACTCGTCTAATAGTCATCACCATATTCATGATAATTGGAATATAAATCCTGGTATTCATGCTCATCCAGGTCCATCCATTTTCAACAATAATAATCTTCATAATAATAATAATCATACTGGGAATGCCTTTGATGGGTTACCTATTGATAACTTGGTTAATAACCTACCTAAATTTCCAGTACCACCCGGAGCCAAATCTTCATTACAAAGTGCCGGATTATCCCAGAATCAAATTGATTTATTAAGTGCTCTAGTGGCCCAACATCAAACCAGTCTTGGAAATTCAATACCTCCTACCACTGCCGCAGCAGCTAGCTCTGCCAATACGATTGTGCCTACACCGATGTCCAGCACTTCTTCCTCGGTATCATCTGCATTCTCACCGCCAGCCCATTCCCCTATCAGACAACATTCACAACTTTTCATAAATGAGGATAATATGGGTGGTGCTGGGATGACACCTACTTCAACAATGTCCGGAAGTAGTTCCTTTACCTCGACTCCTGATCCAAGTGATTTAGATAAAAGACGTAGAAATACGGCTGCAAGTGCTAGATTCAGGATTAAGAAAAAGATGAAGGAAAAAGAAATGGAATCGAGGATACTGAATCTTACGGATACGATAGGTAATTTAGAGAATAAATTAGCACAATTGGAGATGGAGAATAAGTTGTTGAGGAATTTAATTCTTGAAAAGGGGAGTCAAAAGGGTGATGATGAAGTTAAATTATTGAGAGAAAGAGCTAAGAGAGGATAAAGAATGATGATGATGTTTGGGATTCAACTCCTGGGAGTATGTTGTATTAAAATTGTATAAATTTTACAGGTTAAAATATTTTTGATTGCTTATCTATGTATATTGTAGTAATATGATATTCTATTCTATACAACCAAGTTAAATGTAGTCTAATCATTGTAGAGGTTTTTGGGCTAATTTTTTGGTGCATTTTTCATCTTGAAAACATGATATGAATATTCTTCTACCACTAATTGTAACCCGTGTATCATGAACGAGTTATTGTTACCATAGACTCGAGACTTCGCCTGAAAGGATTTCAAGCGCAGTAGTTTATTCGAAGTGGTTCAAAGTGCGGTAAGTTATTCGAAAAAGTGGCTGGGAAAACCCCAACAGATGAGGACAACGACATGACGCAATATTTACTGGAATCCAACCCTTGAAATTACAACAAACTACATCCTCAAAAAGAGNTCGGGTGAATGAATAGGATTCGGAAAAAAAACCGAATAGCTTCCTACCCCTGGTTGGGATACATCTTTTTTGATAGTATGAATCCCAACAATTTTTCTCTCGGAAAAACTTCCAGAAATTTTGCAACCCATGTACGACTTGGGTACCATTACAAATATATATACTCAACTAAACCTGTATGGAATTCCAAAATTAATAATACGAGTTAGGATATTTTCGAATCAAGAAGATTGAATAATAAAAATCACTTCAGCTTTCTAGGTTCAGTTTCTTATAAGCTCTTCTTGGATGTTCTTGAGTAACCTGACTAACAATGAAAGGTGAGAAAACAACTGGTAATAAAATAAGCAACTTATAACTACTAAAGACTTGATTCTCTTGGTTGCTTCAAGCGGGGGTAAATATGCAAACTTTAGAAACTATACCTACTTCCTGAATTGGAGTGTCCCTGAGAGCTTTGATTTCACTATATCTGGCAGAGGCTGAGAACTTCAAGCAAGGAAGAAGGTTATACTGTATCAAATCTCAATATAGCTGCTTGTTTCAATTTAGTCAATAGCCACACTAGTTGCTATCCCTCGCCCAAAAGCACCTCAAATGAATGTAGTTAATGGCAATTTAGTCACGTGAAACAAAATTCAAAAGGAGAACAAAGTTTATTCCCCACACCAGCCAGGGTATGTATAATTCTTTAATTTAGTTGTTAGTTTCTGTATTAATTGTGTTTAATTATATCTTTACTTAGTTAATAAGCTATTGTTTGATATATTGTTGATAAGAGAGATGTCAGGAATTGAAAAGCCAGCAAGTACCGCAAACACTTTTCCCAAATCCAATGAGCCAATCACATTAGAAAAGTTTGAACAAGTTGTTAAACTGGTTGTTGACAGGTCAATTAAAAGTTTACAAGAAAGAATTATGGAAAAGCTTGACAATGATTTCAATAAGTTCTTAAATATAGAGCTTGAGCCAAGACTTGAGCATATGACGCAAGAGGTCGAAGCAGCTGCTGAACTAATAGGAACCAAAGAAAGAGAAGAGGAAACGGAAACAGAAGCGGAAACCCTTGGATCTGAAGAGACTTCGGAAGAAGCATCAGAAGCATTACAATATGCACGTGAAATGGCTGCCGTTTATAAACAACAATTAGCTGAGATTGAAGAACGGATCGCGAAAATAGAGGCTGTAAAAAACAAATCCAACCGTTACGAAGAAATTGTTAAGACGTACTTACCCCTGATAAACATGGAACCAGTAGATAAGCCCACTACAAAAGAGCACAAACCCATCCCAGGAGCCATATTCGAACCAAGGGAAGATGAAATAATTGACGGACGTGATGATCCTATGATTCCTTTCAAATTATTAAATCTCCAAACTAAGCTCGAGATCTTTCAGGTTGATAGGTTCGAATGGGGGAATATGGCATTTTTCTATATTTACGGGGATTTACGTGTACCATATATGCGCAAGAGGGAAAACCCAGAGGATAAGGACAAGGGTATACAGTGGCGAGATGTTGCAATTTTGATTGCAGAGTATTGCAATCTTTTTGTTTGGGATGCGAAGAATTTCGGGGAATTTATGCGTGCCGAGCCACGACCAAATCAGAAGGTTACTCATTTTCTTAGAGAATTGGAGTATAAATTACTGTTTATTTCGGACTATCATAATAGGTTTCCAATGATCAAGGATATTGTTCTTTGTAGATTAGTTGAAGACTTTGGATATATAATTCATCTTCATGACTTGGACAATGCGGAGGAGAACGGTTTCTTTCCATTATGTGAAAGAGCTTTTTTTAATGCAAGATTTCCTAAAGATATCGAAGATGATTATCAACCAATTGGTAATGAAGGAAGATCTCGCAATGTCCAGCACTCAAGTAAGAAGAACCAAGCTTCCACTTGTGCTGGTCACAAAAAGTCTAGAAATCAATCAGGATAGTAATCCAGCTCTTCAACGTTCGAAAGTAAAAGAGAGTGTCCTGTTGCAGAAGAGCTAGAGATGACAGAAGACGTACACGATTCCTTTCACGAGGACGAACGTCTCGTGGTTCTCGATACTGGGAACAAGGCAATGATAATTCGAATAAAGGATTCAGCAGTGGTAGAGAATTTTTTAAGTTATAAGTTAGATTTTTTATATAGGATTAGAGAAAGATATTCATGGATTCAAACAACAATTTTTAGAAAAATACTGTGGGCTAGTGCCTATAAAACTTAATAACGTGAAAAGTATTTACTAATCCCTAATACCCTTACATTGAACCGTTAGGGGATTACTAAATAAAAAGTCAGTGGGGACTACTGACTGTGAGGGAAAAGTTGTCACTTAAGTGTTACCCGGCAACAAGAAAAGGCGATCTGTAAATAATGAGACTGCATGTAGCACACTGTCGCGTTACAGTTGCTAGAATTATTTTTCAGATCGTTGGCAGTAAAATCAATGAAAAATTAAGGGACGCCATACAAAGTTTTCAGTATTCTTAAATACAGAAGAACATATGACACTGGATGTCTAAGTAGCTACCAACAAATGACAGGCATCGAAGTGGGAGAAAGAGAAGAGGAAAGGAACATCCTTGAATCTAAAATTAATTCAGAACAACCATCAGCAGCATTTCAACAACAACATAAAAACGGTACCTTTCTTAATGAAAACCGAGAATCAAAGACGATCGACGAACGGTTGGCTGAGTTAGCGGTAGAAAGTAAGGATGGAACCCGAAGAAGACCTTTAGAAGGCATGGTTAGGAGACACCTACCCGGGATAATATTGAAACCAGTTGATAACCCCACTACAGAGGTGAAAAAACCGGTTCCGGTAACCATATTCGAACCAAGCCAAGAAGAAACAATTAACGGACGAAACGACCCTTTGATTGGTCTTAAATTAGAAAATCTCCAAAATAAACTTCAGAACTTACAGATTGATAGATTCCAATGGGGTAGAATAGCATCATTCTATATAAGTGGAGATTTGATTGGACCATATAGGGACAGGGTGGAAAATCCCGAGGATAAGGAGAAGGGAATACAGTGGCGGGATGTTGCGCTTTTAATTGCAGAGTATTCCCCATTAGCTTTTATTGGACTTGAGAATTCTAGAGCATTTTTTGGGGCCATGCCCGAACCAAATCAGAATGTGAGTGATTTTATTAGAGACTTGAAATTTAAATCAAGACTTATTCCGAAGTATCAGAATAAGTTTGTTATGGTCAAGTATGTTGTTCTTTCTAAATTAATTGGAAACTTTCGAGATATCATTGATCTTTATGATTTTGTAAATGCGAGGGAGGATGATTTCTTTCCATTGATAGAGACAGCATTTTCTAGTAAAACATTTCCCGAAGATATCAAGTGTTGATTCTCATCCACCCACGAGCAGAAGATAGCTTTCTCGACTATAAGTTATTGTTATTTATATAGGATTAGAGAAGTGATCAATATAAACAATAACTTTTACGAAGAATACTCTGGAGTAGTGTGGTATTTTGCGCGGGGCAAGGTAATCTAAAAAGTGGCTGCGAAAAAAATCAACAGTCACAAAGTGAAGCAAAGACATAATGGCAGAATTATTTACGAGGACTTTATCAATAAAAGCATTGAGATAATTATTATCTACTGTAAATTAAAGCCTCTGGCGCTGGTTTCCATTACCAGTTGTATCATATCTTTGCTGGTCAAAACCAATAACACTACTCTCGGAAGTACTTCCCGAGATCGACAACATGTGGAGCATTGGACAAATTTCCTTGCATTAGGAAACGATTGCAAAACAGCGCTAATAACATGATTCCAATCAAGAAGATAGAATAAGGGATACGTCATTTATTTCAACTTTTCAGGTCAAGTTTCAACATAATCAAGTTTGCCGTTCTTATTGTCTTTCCCGGGTTGATAGTTGATTCTTGAGAATCCCAACTAACAATAATGTGAGTGTACAGTCAATATCTGACATATAGTTGCTAAATACTTGGCTCTCTAAGTTGTTTCAAAAGCACGACCGTTTTCCTCGCATAATGATAGATTTAGAATGTTTCACCTTACTTCTTTGACGCTGCGAGAGACTAATTTCGCGGTTTGTGGTCGAGGCTTAGAATCCAAAGCAATCGTGCAACATAACAGCAAGAATCATGATCTACTTTAGTCAATCAATATATGCCTGTTGGTTTGGTTTTAGCCAATAAACAAAACTTCACAGTACAGTCGTCTAATTTTTTTTGTGCATATGTCGCATTGTAAGTTATTAGTTATGCATCTTGTGCTAATTTTTGATTTGTTTTGTGAATCAAAAGACCAACTTATCACAAAAAAAGCCCCCAATTTCAGAGCCCCTTAAAAAGAGGCGAGACGACGGAAAAAAAAATTTTTTCAACAATCTAAATTTAACTGTCTGATTTGTGTTTTGTATCACACGTTGTTCTTCTGATCCTTTTACCTATTAAAGAAAGTGCAAAGGAGAATGTGTATTCTCTTTAGTTGATTAATCTATTCTGAACTTGTAAGGCCCACTTTTAGCGAAATATTCAACCTGTCTGTCTTATCTGTCTTATCTAAATGGCATGTATTTACGAGCCAATTTTTTTTTTAAATGTCGTTGGGTTGTTTTTTGTTTTTATCTGGCCAAACTTTAAAACGCAGGTAAAAAAAAATCCCCCCCTTTTTTTGTCTTCTCATAAGAAAAGAAAAAAAAAATTATTTTCTCCCCTTCAATAAAATTTTTACACCAACAGAAAACAATTACAATCAAATACCTCAACCCCCCCTTACAATTTTCTAAATAAATAAATATAAACCTCTTTTAACAAAAGAAAAATCAGGATATCCTATTTTGTTGCAAAAAGTATGGTTGCTACTAGAAGGTCTGCTGCTGATCAGGCTAGTGTTGAACTAAATCGTAAAGGGAAAATGGTTGAAAAAATCAGAACATCAAGTCCACCAAGATCGGATTCCATACCAAATCGAGAAATCAACAAATATAATAATTCATCTTCACCTGTAGAAACAACAACACCAGAGTTGAATATGAATCAATCAGAGAAGAAGAAGGAAACTAGAGGACGAAAGAGAAAGAGTTCTGAGCTTGTTTCTGCTACTGAAGTCCAACCAATTCTTAAGATAGAAACTAGGGGTCGTAAGAGAAAAAATCCTGTAAACACGGTAAAACAAGAGCCAACAACTTCACCAATATTAAAGAAACCATCCTTTGGATCTCTGGCTGAGAACCAGATAAACAATAAACATAATATTCTTCACTTGCTAACTGATGATAATTCACTTCCACCTCCACCTCCACCTCCACCTCCACCGGATGCACCTGCTTTATTCGTTGAAACCATGAGTCCCTCGTCGTCTGCTGTTATAAGCAATGGCCGTATTCCTATCACTTCAATAATATCCCAAAAGATTGACACGAACGGCCCTGATGATTTGACACCTTTGTCTGGAAGTCCAGCCCCTGAAAGCCCGGATTCTGGTTCGCTGTCGGCATATTCCAATGGTTCTGATAAGAAAACAAAGAGAAGATATCGCGTAGATCGAGATAACATTAAGATCAACAAGAGAATAATGTCAAAGGATACCGAAGATGTTATTGCTATGTTTAAGAAGTTTGATGATGAAGTATTGACAAATACAGAAGCAAAACAAAGATTATTGTCCCTTGGATTCGAAACTAGAAAGAGATATATTACCACATTCAAGCATTATATTAGATTCTGTTGTAAGAAGAATCTAAGCAATTTCTTTGTTACCGGTGAATTAATGAAAGAGTTTTATGAAGAACAATTTGCAATGTCATCTTCTACCAATCCTGTTATTAGATTGAGAAAAATGGATCCAGCATTTTCAAAGTTACAAGAAATTAATTTTTTGGTTTATCATTTACCCACAAAAGAGATCCCTAATAGACACATTGCTTTAGAATATTTGATTTACAAAGAAGGTGGGAATGAATCAGGTGCAGGCTTGCAATCTATGAAATCATCAGCAAAATCATCAGCTTCGCCAGCACCAGTTGAAACTATAAAGAAAAAGCTCACAGCTCCAAACACGAAGAAGAAAACAGTTAAAGTACAAACAAAAAAGAAGGCAGCCGTCGAGAATAGAGATGAAACGGCATTGATGACTCCACCTGAACATTCTGAGACTCATCCATTCCCAGATCATATTGCAACACCAAAAACTGAAACTAGCTCACCCATTCCAACACCAATTCCTACTAAGAAGCCTTCGAATAAAAAGCAAAAGAATTTAGATGTAAAGGAACTTCGAAGTTCATTCAACGTGTTGCGCTCCCAAATCCAGAATATCTTAAAAGCCAATGTTTCCATCGAACCAGCTGCTATAAGCAACATAGCAACCCAGATCAACCGATCCTTAGATGAATTTGATCATACATTAACAACCCCAACTGTCCTGGGAACTAAGGCTGTCCCAACGATTGATATTAACCATGATATTTTTACAGTTTATGAAATTTGTGAAGAATGGTTTAGAATCGAACCATCGATTGAATCTCGATTACAAAAATGGGGAGAGGATTGGATAACTGATGAAATAGACCACGCTACATTTTTGGAAAGAAAAGCAATTGTTGAATTTGTACAAAAGATGAGTAAAGAATGTGGAGTAGATGATATTTTCATTGTGGCAAATGATTGTGATAGATACATTAGAGACAAATCCATCTTGGATGAATTCATTAGTGAAATTGAATTAGATTTTAATGATTTGTTTAAGCGAGTTATTAGACATAGACAGCGGAGAAGTTGAATAGAATTTTCATTTCTGAGATTTAATTGGTTCGATTGCAGTTGTTGCTGTCTATGTACCTAGAAAGGCATTTTGTTTATCGTCATTAGTCTTAATTTTGCTATTTTAGTGAGGGGCGGCTGAAACCTAAAAGATACGAACATTTATGGGGGACGTCTCCACCCCTCTTTTGTTGATAAGATTGTTCGAAATGAACAATGGATTGTTAGAGTATTTATTACAGTATATAAAAATAATGGACAACAATTGTTTAAAATAAAAAGTTGGGGTTTCGAATGAGAAACAAAGAGCTCGGAGCTGTAGTAAAACTCCGGGATCTGGGGTGTGTGGGGATCGCTGTTACTTGAAATTTTGCATCTCACTTTCATATTATTTCTCTAGCTACACACGACGGCGGAGGGTGCTATGAAATGTACTGCATTTACGATATGACAATTAGCCGAGAACAACGGTGTATCGATGTTACTCGCTATTTAATTTTGTTGAAAACAAATATTAAACAGTAAGCATTGAATGAATAAGCAGCCTTTCACTTAAATGATATTGTTGGATACGCACGTTTTCTAGAGTATATGGACACGGCCCCGCAATTGCGGCAATTGTAACGGCATTTGTAAATTAAGAAATCGATCAAGCAGACTTGCGTTACGGTTCAGTTGCTTGCCTTGATCCAAAACAACTTGGAGTCTCCGAGATTTCATTGTTTTCATGAAACATGGCGTGTGGCTTAATCTTATATGAAATACCAAGAAAAAAGCAAAGCAGGAAGCTTTTATGTTGCGTGCAAATTCATACACATCCTTGGATGTATTCGTGTATTTTTGTATATGAAATTCTGAAGCTTTCGAGTCGGGGAAAATCCTTCGATTGTCCAGAAAGTTTATTTCTCATCATCAACGGAAAAACACGGAACCCAGCGTTTCAAAGGAAACAATTAGTTAGGAACCTAATTTAAGAATACTTCTGTATTCTCCCGGAGTTCTTTGTAATTACAATGGGTCCATTGTTTGGGATTGTTGTATCATCTAACAGTCTTTTCAGCGATTTCGCAAAGGTGGTGTATGTCAGAATGCATGTTGTGCAAAATCTGTAGTGGTTTTTGCACCCACGACATTTTAGTCAAGATCACACATCCACAATTTTTCGGCCTCTATGCCTTTCGTTCAGCTATAGGAATACACACGTTCTCAGATTCTATACAAAAGAAATAAGACCGCTTTGAAAATAGATACAAAAAAGTGCGTGTAAACAGTGTGGGGATGGCCAAGAATTACTTTGGAAGTATTAACACTCTCTCATACCGTTAAAAGTTTCCGCTCGCCTTAGTAATCCTAAGTTCATTAGAGCCACATTCTTGTAGCCATAAAAAGGTGCAAGTAAAATGGAAAACCATAATGAGTCTCGTCCCGTAAGAATATTGGAAAAGCCTTTTCAGGTACAATAAAAAGGCGTTTCTTTGCTGCAGCTAGTCGATGAAACAAACAACATCCGCAAAGCGCATTTGTATTTTTTATTTTTTCGGAGCAGCCATGCATATGCATACCCCGAGGTAAAAATTATTTCATGTAGCGACAGTAAAAAAAAATAAATGCGGCAAACACAGGCCAAGAAAAAAAACAAATGTGGAAAATGAAGTGGGGGCTGATAAGGCTGACACAAGTCTATCAATTAGAACTCCATTATTTTCTCAACAAAACAAGACTAATCTCTAAGCACCATTATGGTGTCTTGCATTTTCGTATATTAGCGAAATTTGTGGGGCTTGAATTCATTGTATAATGTCGATTTGTGCACTATAAAAGCCACCTTTTCCTCAATCCCTGATCCAATTTTTTGCAATCAATTCCATCAATCAAAACCATCATAAGCAATCATGCCAGCTGAATCAGTCTCTGTTCGTACTGTTGAATCAGTCACTGTCGCTAAAGAGCACAACAAACACCTTATTCAAGCTCCAGAATTTACCTGGCCCGTCATCAGAAAGTATTTCGGTACTAGAATTAGTTCCCTTTGGGTCGGTAAAGAAGAACTTGCTCAACATTCATGGAATGAAATCCTTAACCCTTTCCAACCATTAGTCCATGTCAACCTCCGACCAATGGAACTTTTTCTTACTTGGTTTCTTAGCTTGGACTTGCGATGCCTTTGATTTCTTTACTACAGCTTTGAATGTTTCCAACATTGCTAAGGATTTAGATGTCTCCGTTAAGGATGTTTCTTGGGGTTTGACTGTTGTTTTAATGTTAAGAACTGTCGGTGCTCTTATTTTTGGTGCTATTGGTGATATGAAAGGTAGAAAATGGCCTTATATTGCCAACTTGTCTCTCTTAGTTGCTATCCAATGTGGTACCGGTTTCGTCACAAACTTCAAGATGTTCTTAGGTACTAGAGCTGCCTTTGGTATTGCTATGGGTGGTCTTTATGGTATTTGTGCTGCTGAAGCTCTTTCTGATGCCCCAACTGCTGCAAGAGGTGTTCTTTCTGGTTTATTCCAAGAAGGTTATGCATTTGGTTTCTTATTAGCTACAGTTTTCCAACGTGCAATTTCTGATACTACCCCACATGGCTGGAGATCTTTATTCTGGTTCAGTGCTGGTCCACCAGTTATCTTAATTATCTGGAGATTCTTCACCCCAGAAACTGATACTTATCAGCATATTGCTGCCAAGAGAGCTTCTGCTGCTTCTGGAAACCACTCCAAGTTTGCTAATTTCAAGACTGAAGCTAGCTATGCTTTGAAGAACTATTGGTTAATCATCATCTACTTGGTTTTCATGATGGCTGGTTTCAACTTTTCATCTCATGGTTCTCAAGATTTGTACCCAACCTTGTTACAAGAACAATACCACTACGGTAAAGATAAGAAGACTGTTGTTTTAGTCTGTTCCAAATTAGGTGCTTTAGCTGGTGGTGTTATCGTTGGTCACTTCTCCAGTATTATTGGTAGAAGAACTGCCATCCTTATTGCTAACATTTTTTCCTTGGCCTTCATCTATCCTTGGGCTTTCCAACCAACGTGGGTTACTGCTTTCTTCATGCAATTTGGTATCCAAGGTGCTTGGTCTGTTGTTCCTATCCATCTTTCAGAATTATCTCCACCTCAATTCAGAGCTTTCGTTATGGGTGTCTCTTATCAATTAGGTAACTTGGTTTCTTCTGCATCTGCAACTATTGAAGCTACTATTGGTGAAAAATTCCTTCTTCCAGATGGAACTCATGACTATGCTAAAACTATGGCTATTTTCGTTGCTGCCGTTGTTGTTTACTTATTCGTTGTTGTTCTCTTGGGTCCAGAAATTAGAAATGCTGAGTTGGGTATTGAAAGAGAAGAAGTCTATGCTGTTTATGATGCTGAGGAAGGTCAATTCGACAAGCTATCTTTTGATCATACCGAAGATGCCAGCAAACAAAAGGCAGGTGCTGATAGGGTTTAAGCCTAAGATATCTTCTGGTATACTTAAGGCACAACAAGCAAGAGGTTGGTGTTGATAAAGTTTAGAGTTGGTACGACTTTTCCTTTCCTTTTTATTTAGTCTAGATGTATTGATTATATCTATTTATTTACTTAGATGAATCTTATTAAATTAATTACTTGAAATATTTCTTTCTGAATAAACTGTAGATGGACTTGATATTCTAACATTTGTTTATGACCAATATCATTGTGAATTGAGTTATTGCTGTTCGAATGAAGGTGCACTTGTGGGTTGTTTTTTTTTTTTGCTTTCGATGTATTTCTTGAGAAAATAGCTTTCACCACGGAAATATGCTTTCTATAGCGTCCATGCAACAATTTTTGACTTCCGCCGTAAAAAAGCAACAAAATTTAATTGGATATAATACATTAATCACATTTCCACAGGAATTATGCACTGTGCTTTACATTTTAAGGCTGGAGAAATTCCGTTGAAAAAAGAAACTTGAAGATGCGTCACCTTAGTTTAGTCGCGCCTTTGATTCTATTAGTTGGGAAAAGAGGAGGAACACGACCCATCACAAGGAACTTTCGTTATGAATCTTGTCCTAGCTTGGTCTGAAGAAGTTCATCATGCCTGAATGAAAACCTGCGTGTTCAAGAATTATTTTTTCGGAACAACTTATTAACGAGCGATAAAAAATATAAGGGTCAGGAATAGCCGAGAAAATATGTTGGTGCGGGGGAGGGGCTAAGAATGAAAGCTTCAATGTTCAAATTGTCCTTTAAAAATTACTGGTTCCTGAGTTCTCTAAAGTTAGTCTATGTTACTGTCATATAAGTCATCTCAAGCAATACTAATAAAGCTTTGCTGAGAAACTCAGGCAGCGTAAATCTTTTTGTAACACCAAACGAGAGGAGACCTCCCTATCTGGCCCTATTGAACTTAACAAAACTCTAAAATTCAATAGCTACATTAAATGCTCTTGTTCGGGCTTCTGGGTAATCCGGAGAGATTTAGCTATTTGATTGTTTGGAGAGTGGATCTTGGGTGAATTCCACTCTGAAGTCTGAAGGGAGGAGGACCGGTCTGTGAGTCGTCATTATCTTTGACGAAGTAAAGAACCCTTCAGATTTGTCCTAAGTATTTATTAAATAAAGCCTTGCAGTGTTGGATTTGATTACGTCGGGAATTTGTTCTATAACGAAAGATAGCCGACTCTTCTGGTCCTGTAAGAGATTTGTTAACCATACAAAACAGATGAATTATAATCCCCCCTCCCAAGTCTGCACATTCAGCAGCAGAAGGCTTGGTGTAGATATGTCCCATCACCATTCGAACGTCATTACTGATATTCCGAACTGTCGAAAATTGTTATGCATGGCTTACTATTCCTAGATTCAATAAAAGCAATTCCCCCGTTAATAGTTGTCCTTTCTAAGGCAGAAGCTGCCACAAAGCTTTTCGCTTAAACTGCACCTATTTCTTGGTAAGTTTACTCAACACAACACGAAAGTACTGTCAAATTCTCCCCTTTGAATTTCAATTGCTTCATTATCAAGGCAACAATTTCAGTCAAGCATACAGCCTTCAAACTTTAAGATATTGGCCATATTGCATCAAATATTATGATTTTGGTGATCCGTGGAAATCGAACCAAGAAAAATTTTTCAACGTTGCCAAGCATCTGTTCTCATTTGGAAGATCTAAATTTACGGCTAGTAATGCCAGGCTCGAGATTAGCTCAGCTGAGGAAGTCTGAGGACATCGAGAAAAGCTTTTTATTGGATATTACTTCAAGACTCGGGAGATTTAGGAATGATCCCCACTAACCTGGTATCTTCAAGGTGGGGTACTCCCTTATCCTTTGTCTCTTGAATGTTGAGACTTTTAGGACGGACAAAAACGGAGCCAACGTATTTAGTCCTGGTCAACAATTGTATTGATGGTAGAGTTTTAAAAATAATTCATGTAGAATTTAGAGAGCGATACTGATTTATCCCGGAGTACATTTTTGAAACAATTAATTCAAAAAAATAT